TAAACCGGACAACGAGCAGGTATGGCATCATCCAATCGACCCTGATACTAATGTAGATTGGAGATCGGCGGATATGGGTGGAAGTTGTTTTAGGACTTAACCAGAAGGGCAGGCTGCAGACCGAGCAAAGCTACGGGCCGGGTTCCTCTACAGGGTGGGTATTAACCCGGCCGATTCTCCTCGTCACCCTCCCTGTATCGGGCATCCACGTGTCATTCAATGTGGCAAGCACACCTACCGTGATTGCACACTTTCTTCCTTGACAGCGGATTTGCCCGTCCTACGCCGGCCACCGCCCGACAGAGGGCCCGGTGCTGCATGTACACGAATATGACCGTCATCACAATGTACTGTCTGTTCCTCACTACAGCATCAGCAACAGGTCGCATATAGTGTGCGGCATCAATATTACAGTAGTTTCGACCGGGCTATCCGACTGGCCAATGAACAGGCGTCAGACTCAGTCTGTGTTCCTGTCCAATCTTCTCAGGGCGCCTGTGACTCCGGTATTCCGGATACTTTTGCCGCACCCGCCCGATTCACGCTGAAGGAGCGTGACCACAGGAGCTCCTATTGTTGTGCGTTCGTCCACCTTGTCTCCTGCGTTGTTCGTCTTCGACTTCGACAAACATTGCGCGAGAAGTGTCCAGCAGTATGTTCCCTTGCTACGGGAACTCACGATTCTGGGCCATGAAGTTGCTTGTTTTCTACTCCGAGGAGATTCCAACCCCACCCACGGCCTAGAGCCAGAAAGCGCCAGGAGAGCAAATTACCAACAGGACCATTCACACACTCCTGTTGTGTGACCGAGTTCATGGCACGGAGTATATTCATTCGAAAGATGCTTGACGAGGGCCCGTCGCTATCGCCCCTTTTCTGGCCGTATTTTTCAGCGCTCACTCCTCCAGCACGTGACGCTCAGGTAAAGGATTCTTATTCGTACACAGCGGAAGGGGACACTCAATGAATCGGTACAAAAAAGTTAGTAGGTATGAAATCGGACATCGAAATTACCAAACACACTCTCGCCTGACGGACCGCTTGTTGCATAGGCTCACAGCTACAGATCCCTTGAAAGAGCCTCGCATACGGCCTCTGGTGATGGGCTGCACAAGGCGACGGTGGGAAGATCGGCATCGTTTACAATACAATTGGTGGGGGACCAACTCGGCTCGCTGCCTGACTGGAAACCAAACAGCAGCACACGGTTCATCTACGTGTGGATCGCTAATAAGGATCAGGTGGGACAGTCATAATGCTTGGTAGGAGCTACTCCATCGTTCAGGAGGAAATGATGACTTTGTTGAGATATTTGGGGAGGTGGTTGGTCGGGGCGTTCTTGTGCGGATGGGCGGATTAGGATAAACAATGCTTGATGGCTTCGCAGATACTCTGACAAAAACCTAGTGCCTTCTGGCGGTGTGCGCTCTGTCTCCCGCCGCCTTGTTTGTCTCAGAGTTTTGAACCCATCTGCTGTCCATAATACAAGTGACAGAAACGTCTTGAACACACATATACAAGGTCATCCGAACACGGGGCAAGTTCACACGTCGAGCGTCGTTACTACTGTACCTACTACGTGGATTTCCCGTCCGGCGCATAGGGTCGGTTGTACAGTACATTATGACGAAAGAACCATTCACCAATCTTGTCACCCCGGATGGCGAAGTCGGCTGAAGAATAAACACAACAGGACGAGGTATCAGCAATGCCAATCGGCATTTGAACCCGCCACCTGGTCATCAAGAGACATGAAACACATCGGAGCCCGAACCGCATGTATGTGGAGGAATCTATATGTTCGAAGCCATTTGTAGCGTCAGAGAGGAATATTGGTCACCTTGTTATACACATAAGATTTCTGCACAGTGTCCGGAGTCATCGCACAGGAGTCCGATGACTAGCAGCCCAGGGTAGCTGAGTGCCAACCCGTTCCGGGGCAAGTGCTTCCCCTGCAAGCATGCTGGTGCTGGCATGGTCGCTCCGCTGTGTATGGCATCGTCGCAAACCACACGTGGAAGCATCAAGGACAACAGAAACATACATTTCCAATGATACTGGGGTTATCGCACAGGGGTGATCGTTAAGCGTCCAGGTGTCGCCTTTAGGGTTAATACTCAGGACTTCACGTACCAGAGTTATCGCAAAAGCATGCCCGTAAAATGTCAAAACCAAACGGTTTGTATTGTATTTCTATTCCCGCACAGAGTTCGGCGCTATTGCATCGCTTTGCGGTGAAACGTAAGTAGCGAATAAAAAAAAACGACCGCGGTACGATATCTCGTATTGTTACGGTCCTGGGAACGACGGTACGTATTACACGCGAGAGGATTGAATGACCACCTCCCATACGATACATAATTCACTATGAGTAACTCACAACGTTTTGCATGCTGGTAACACTCACAAAGCCGACGGCGGAGTATGTGTCGGGTGCGCCCGTATTTGCAACACTGCCTATGTACCGCAGTCTCGATAATTGTTTGTATTCGATCCTCAATTGAACGTCGAAGGCAAGCACCGCAGAAGGGGTGAGTACGGGGTCTCAGGGAACTCCTCTGTGTGACAATAGAGTGGAGCTCTTACCTGGCAGAAATGATGCTGTGAGCGTTGCTTCAACGTCATGATGAGCAAACAAAACTTCGTCAACGAACCACGATACTATCCGTCTTGAATACAACTCCCACTGCATGTGTACAAACCCTAACATTTCATACACGACACCGCAGATTTTGATCGCGGAGGTAGCAGACGGCGGCAGCAAGAACGGCACTCTGACCGCCACGTACAAGAGTGATTTCCCCGGGGACTACCTGGTGTATATCGATGAAGTCGAGTCTTCAAAAAAGGATGAGGGTGTTCCCATCTTGGGTAGCCCTTTCAGTCTCACGATTGCAGGCGATGCTCCGACGCTGGACGTCAACTCCCTTCCCGTGTGTAGCACCCACGAAGATACCAACAAAGACATCCCGGATACATTTTGGAGGTCCGGGACATGGCTTTCCTCGAACGTCGCTAGTGCGGCGCATGGAGTTATGAGAAACGGGTGGGTGTTTCAGCCCAAATCTTGTGTTTTCGACACGTTTTCATATGAGGATCTCATGCTCCTTGCCAGCCTCGACGGCGAGCCGACGTGGCTTCTGGTGTTGGGAGGATCCGTCCAAAGGGGTGTGTTTCTGACCCTGATAGACATGGTGTTAGCGGCCGGGCAAAAGCACGACATCCAGTCAAGTGTAGTTCAGAAATGCTGGGGATACGCCGACGTCCGGGTCGGAAACCTCCGCCTGACGTACCAGGTAAGGATTTTTGAATTATGTTCGTTGAGAGACATAGTGTACGTCACGGTTTGCCGTAAATTGTGGTGCGGGAGGGCTTTTGGGGGGGGATTAGTGTTTGCTCTTTTGAGGTCAACTTCGGGAGGACATGTTGACTAAATTACCCTGGGTGAAAGTCACATCGCGCGGGTCCCAGGAAAGGCGTGAGTAATGACTGAAAGTTGATTTCAAAAGGGTGGGACCGTGGAACACCGACGTGCAACGCTTACTATCTTCATGGCAAGATGAAAGAGTCTTAGTCTTTCGTTATCAATGTGAAGATTCATGGTAGCAACACTGCTCCTTTCACGCACTCAGCACGTGAGGGCACGTGTACTTTCGTTCAGCACTATCAATATTTTTTTTCCCTCTAGCGTGGAAGGTGAAGGAGTGGGATCAGTTCCACTTTCGCCCGTCGATGCGCACTGACATGCAACCTTTTAACACCGCACGCGTCCGTAACGTTTTTGCCTACGCTCCCTCTATCCAGGATATGCGGCTGTTTAGAATCACCAGCAGTTCCGGTAAGCGGAGCCCCATTAGCAGGTAGCTGTAACGGATGGTTTGGGCGTGTGCATTGCTGTCAGAATGGTCTCGTGTCTTGAGTGTACATGTTTGTCGGTCGACCGTTGAGTTACTCCGTGTGAATTCTCAGCTCCTGCAGCTGTGAGTTGACAGGAGCGGTTTACATGAAGAAGCACGTCGGACCATGAATGCGCTATTCTTGTTCGCTTGTGTTCGTTCAGACTGAAAGACAAATTGGACTTTCACTCGTGGTGTCCTTTCTTCAATATGCACTATATCCGCTGTTCCCGGGTTTTACGTCGTTGTACTCGTACTGTAGGTGTGGCGACTATCCATGGGTTGACCTGTTCCGGCAACGGTACCCGAGACCTCTGCCTTGCGAAACAACCCTCAAGAACCATAAGTACATGATCATTGGTCTAATCACGCCAAGCACAAATCACGTTGCCCACGTTGCTCATGTGGAGTGGAAGAATAAATCTGTTGTTGTGTTTCGCGTGCAGAGAGCTTGCAATATCGGCTTTGGAATGGCGCCACTTCCATCGGGAATTGTGCTGGTTGCGGCAATTGCTGTTCCATATTGAAGCCGAGACGAAATCATGCTGTTGTTTTTCACCAACGCTGGCCTCTCCAACTCGGTAGATTCGCTGATGTGCAACAACGAAAAACTCGTGAGCGGGAGCACGTCAGCCTTCATTCACTCCGCCGAGCAGTTCCTGACGTCGACCATTTTTCGAGAAGGTGGCCCGTGACCTACGATTGTGATGGCTCCGTCCAACTTAATCCCGTCCAACAACGAAGACACCCAATTCTCGGTTGAGGTGACACGCAACGAAGATGGACAGCAGCCGATTTACTGCATGAATATACTCTTGGCCATCAGAGAGTGTAGGACCTGTAGGTTGCCTCACCACGATTAGTAGCAGCATCTGCCTGACAATTGTCTTTGTGCTTGGCCTTCACGCGAGGCCTACGAGCATCGAGGGCACGCGGTGTGGGCGGATCTTTTTGGAATTCTCAAATAAATAGTCTACGTGATGGGGAATGCATTACAGTAGTCGATGTGCAACAGGAAAACAGGCTGGCATCTTGACAGGGGACTGGGTACAGGAGGCTCGGGAAATCAAACCAAGAGAACGTATGGGCGCCAACCAGGTCTTGTTGCGCCTGGCCTGAAGATTTCTTCTGTTCTTTCTTGTGTAGCAGTTGGATTCCCCACCGCTCGCATTCTCTGATCGCGTTGAAGATATGCATACTCAGCTCGTGCATCATGCACATGCTCGCATCCGCAGGTACTCATGGACGCCCTGCCGCCTAGCTGGGAAGGAAAGCTCTCGTTCGTGGATCACATGGCTGGATTTGTGAGTGCCATGGGGTTACGCTGTAGGGTGTGCCGGAAGCTGTATAGCCCTGAGACAGGCGATTGAGCAATCTCCCATCCGAGGTCGTCGAGGAAGCGACGATTGACTTGCGGAAGTAGCATCTCCGCCGTAATTTGTTCTTGAGCGGACCCCTGTGAGCCAAGACAACCCTCTCGAAGGTCGGACGGGGGCATTACGATGGTGCTGCAGAGTCATGAAAGGAGATTGGTAAAGCAAATGGGCCAGCACCATCTCTTCCGCCCGTGAACGGAAACTTCATGTCGAGATCTGTGATTCGTTCTTGTGATCACATCCTGACCTTCCTGCTTCCTTGGCACGGTGCACACCAACATTCAGGGGATTATGTGGGAGGAAGAGAACCCAACCATGACCGCTCTGGAAGACGTCAGGATGTGGTACTTAAGCAGTTCGCCAGACGACGACAATGGACTCGGCAAAATGGACGCTTACGAAACCCGAGACCCTCGCGTATCCTTCATGAGCGTATTTCCTGTGAGTTCGGTCGGTTTAGGGTCGCGTTCATTGTGTAGATGGGCTGCCGTTCACATCATTGTCCGTTCCGATCTC